CAATGAAAAATGAAAATCACTAATAATAATTTGAAATAGATTTTAATTTTAATTTTAGTTAAGTCATCAAAATGATGTGTCATCCACATCACCTCATTAAAGCCACACAAACAAAAAAGTCAAAGGGTTAACCGGTTTAAAAGGTAACAGGTTACCCATTGTTATTATGGGTAGATTTTTTAAAGTACAATGCCTTAATAAAAAATAATTTGAAAGTACATTGCTATAATAAAGAAAAACAAAAGTAGAATGCTATAATAAGAAATTTTATGAAAGTAGGTTACTATTTCATGCATTTAACTTTGTTTCAAGAGTCAAAAGATCTAAATATTAATTATATTATTAGATTATTTAATAAATTTAATCTCAACTATTTTTTCAGATAAATTTTATATAAAATAAAAATACATTCAATTTCTATTTCGAATAAAGTTTTGTGGTAGAAAAAACAAAAGAAATCGACCAAACTAGTTATTTTGGACAATATTTTTACTTTTTCGCTTACGTTTTTTATGTTCGATTAAAATAGCCAAGTTTTAGCAAATGTCCATCTAACAACGCAAAGAATTGCAAAACGACGTCCTTTGGGGATCATAGTTTATTTATAATCAGGGACAAAGCCAGAAATTTTAACTGAGGGTGCCTTTAAAATAGTGTAATTGAGGTTTGGGACTATATGAAATTTTATTTTTGAAGTTTGAGAGGCAGCCGATGCCACTTCCGGCTCCAAACCACTTGTGTCCATAATAAAGTATATTTCGCAAGTTACGAAACTTATGAAATAAGCATTTGCAAAATCTTGGCTACTTTGGTTAAATATCCAACCCGTTATACAAGCGAACTAATCCCAGAACAATCACTTGCTTTACGAGTAGCACAGAGTCATCGCATTTGAACATCTGTGACCACAAAGAGAATTTTTATTCCTTCTTAAATTTGAACCGGGAACATTCCGACACTTTTGACCTTTTGAGCTCAACCTCAAACCAATCAGATGGTTGAGTGAATTAGTTTTATGACCATGGAAACTGTAGTTTTGATGCAAACTAATAACCATTTTGTATTTTAGTTAAGGGGGTGTTTGGGATAATGGGATTGCTTATTTGAAACAACTTATGTTTTTCTATAAATACAGTTATCAACTTATTATTTAACTTCTTCAAAAACTCTTTATTACCGTTTTGACACCGGCATAAGTTGTTTATCTAAATACTCAAAAGTGGTTATTACCGTTGGCACACCGGAATAAGCCAATATGTTGTTTTTATAAGCAATCCCAAACACCCCTCAACGAACGATTACGAATTGCAATAAGGTCTTAACCGATTCGATTTTGTAATTTAATCATAGAACTCAAAACTGAAATCGATTAGGATTCGATACAACATACCTTATGCCTTGCGAACATATTATACTCCGGCTGTTCGACTATAGGGCCGACGAGATCCAACCGATTCGCAATCCCCCAAGCCTCCGTAATCTGCTGTGCCGACCACTCACTCGTTCCCCAATAAAACGCCCAACCATTATCAATCACATAATTCATAGCCCTAACTGTTTCCTCAATCGGCGTGCACAAATCCGGCCGGTGACAATAAATCAAATCAACATAATCGGTATCCAATCGTTTCAACGAAGCTTTAGTGCCTTCAACAATATGCTTCCTGGATAAACCCTTATCGTTGGGTCCAGGCCCTCCCCAAAACAGCTTGGTAGACAGAACGATATCAGATCGTTTCCAGCCGAGCTCTCGGATGGCTTGTCCCATGATTTCTTCAGCGCGGCCATTAGCGTAAACCTCTGCGTTGTCGAAGAAATTGACGCCATTGTCACGGCAACACTGGAGGAGGGTTTTGGCTTCTTTGACGTCTAATTGGTTGCCGAAACTGATCCATGCACCGTAAGATAGCTGTGATACCTTCAATCCTGACCGACCTAGGTTCTTGTACTCCATATTTCCCGATCTCCGGTGATCGGAATCAAGTGTAGAGAGTTGAGAGGTGACAGGTGAGAAGAGAAGTGCGGGACGGCAAGTGGACAGAGATGGTCTACTTAACATGTGACTTGACAGATTCAGATAGTTCCAAAAAGACAAACGTTCCTCCCAAAATAATTTTTTTTCTTAACAAATTCCGTTTCGATAAATTAATGGGTTGGGTTTATATTTACACTTAAAACTTTATAATAAAATATGTTAAAGATAAAAAAAAAACTCTGAATTTTTACGGCAAAAACTTTGTGAATGTTATTTTTACAGTATTTTTATTGTAAAATTTCAAATGTGAAAATGTAATTTTACAGATTTCATGAAAACAGTATAATGCCATCTTTTCTGTCGTAACATAAACTAACTAATCACAATTGGTGTGTACAGATTTATAGGATAAATTATATAAAAAATAACCTACTTCAGTTTGATTTCTATTTTAAATAATATACTTTTAAATTTTTTATTTTAATATTTTAAAAATAGATATCGTACTTTCAAATAATATAAGTTTTAGGTAATTATTAGATTTAAAACTTCTCATCTCCCACCAAGGTTAATGATTTGGATTTTCCTAAAAGTTAGAAAACTCATTTATTTTTTTCATATTCAACTTTTTTTTAATAATTTTTCTTAATTTCATATTTTAATTTTTATAACATTTATTATTTATTTATGTTTGTATTTAACACCATCTTTTCGTTTTTCCTAATTCTTTTCTATGTCTCAATCATTTCATTTTTTTCTTCATGAATTGTTCATCGTTCAATCTATTTTTCTCTATCTACATTCCTTGAGTATTTCTCTCTACACTTTCTCCATTTTGGAGAAGGTTTTAAAGAATCTGTTGAAATAAAATTCATCAAAATCTTCATTTTAGAGAATCTAGTATAGATGATCTTAGATTTTATTGATAAAAGATGTTTTGAAATAAAATATATTTTTATTTATTTATAATTAAATTACACATTAAAAATAAAAAGACGTGGATGTTAATATTTGTAAGGATAAAAATGATAAATAGTAATTTTGTTTAGATTTTCTTAAAATTTGGGTAAAAATTTGATTACCGCAGTTTCATGGCCTCACACGAAACCTCCCTTAAAAGATATCAGTGTAAAGAGGCATCTCCTGAATTGAACCTGAAACTAGTCTTAGTAATAGTCTTACACTGTAAAATGACTTTTTGAATAAGCTATTAGAGCTAGAAAACGACGAATAGGTTATGAAAATGAATCATATATGGTCTGTTTGAGAGAATTGTATAAGAGGGAGCTGCTAACTGCTGTCCTAATCGAAATTTGAAGCAGTTAGTAAAGAGTTATTTCCAAAGAAGCATTTAACCATTCTCTAATATATCTCATGTTAACCGATTCATCGACTTTGGCCTCTAAAGACCTGATCCATAGTAAAGAAGTAGACATGGTATGAATGAGATTGAAAATGAGCTCCCCCCCTTTTCGGGATGCATTGTAGCACAGTCTGTGACTACGTTTTTCCGTTGGTTGATGATACGTATTGCACACTTGTTATATTTGTTTATATAGTGTTAGTTCTATAACGAATTTCAAGCGCCTATGAATTAGTTCCAACAAAGCGGTCGTTCACGTCAAGAATCAAGGCTGTTGATGTAGTTGCATTCATTTTTTCGTCTCAATTGGGTTGGTGTTCAGTGTACTGCTCCGTGGGTACAAAATCGAAAAACACGCATTGGACGGATGCCCGAGTATTGAGAGGGAAGGACAATTTCAAACGCAAAATGCCATGGGGAGGTACTGTCTTTTATCCATGCATCTCCGATTGGGAACCGTATCCAAGCTCTATGGATAGTCTGTGTTTTTTGGACTTTTCAAACTTAGCGACCTGAACCTGAACATCTGAGTAGCTAAAGGAAGAGAAATCATCCAAGACCTCATTAAGTAGCAGCGAGCGAGAGCGGATTTGGGCTTTGAAGAAAAACAAAGACGAAGCGTCGTTCCTCCGCAACGTGTTCATTTCTTTTTCGCCAGGTTTCGTTCTCTTTCTTTTTTGATTGGATGAAGGAAAACCCAGCAAGCTACGACTTGAAAGCTTACCTTCTTCTCTAGAGACAGGGATTTCTAAATATGACTTTGATTTTATGAGTTTTGAGTTCACCATCATATCTATACTACATTATAAACATTTAATATAAACTCATCATTTCTATGCATCAACTCATCAAGCATTGTTTGTTGATGCATATTACTTAAAATTTAAGATTACAAGTAAATGGTGCATGAGTATAATTTTTTAAAGTTGCATTTTGAATTCATATAACTAACAAATCAACATAATCAAATACAAAATAAACCGTTCATTTTAAATATAAAGAATCTGAAATATAATTAGGATAATCATCGAGTTATAACATAATACTTAATTATTATCTTTGTAAAAATCACTACATTATTAGACCTAAAATAAATTGCATTGTTATTAAACCTAAATTAAATCATAATAAAAAAATTGAGTTAAGCAAATTATATAAAAAAACAAGAACTTTTAAAATATTAATATCGGTATACATTTTTTAAATTTTTATGTGGTCTTCGATTTTATAATTTATTCAAACATAAAAATATTATCGTTTTCTCCAAATCACATAAAATCGTATTATAATTAAACAAGAAATAATAAAATGAAACATTAAAATCGAGATATATTATGTGACATTGTGCAAATACACTACTAATATATTTAAAACATACAAATCCCTAACTTATATTCATTAAAAAGAAAAAGACATTGCATAAATTGAACCAACTTTGCACCAGGCATGACAATGGGAAAGAGATAGGACAGAGTTTTTTAATCCCCGGCCCCGACCCTGGCAGGTACAAGGATTAATATTCCGTCCTCGGTTTATTTTCTGGTCAAACCCCGATCTTCGTTCCGGGTCAAAACCTAATTTTAGAAAATAATATATATAGATATATATACACACACACATATATATACATATATTATATAAAATATATTAATAAAATTATATACCGGGTACAGGACGGGGCAGGGGATACGCTACCCGGCCCCAACCCCGGTTTGAGTCTACGGGGGATTCCCGGGACTCGTTTTAGCAGGGAATCCCCATCCCTGTTCGGGTCGAGTGAGTCGGGTTTCCCACTGGGTCGGGGGAAATCACCATCCCTACTTTTAACTCACTCATTCGTCTTTTGAAAAATCGAATTTCAAAATCTCCACTTTTTGAATCAACTTTCAAAATCCCAATCGTTTAAATAGAAAATTTGTTAACACAATTTTTTAGATTACCAATACCACTTTCAAAAATAGAGTTCGAAAAGTCGATTTTTCAAAATAAGAATCAGGGACGGACCTACATTGACCAATAGGGTAGCATGGGCTACCGCTCCATGGTTCAATCATAAGAAAAAAAAAAATATGTTCCTGAAAGATGAAGCCATGTAAAGGCAATCAGATAGATCAAGAGAGTTGGTTTCATTTACATTCTGTAAAATATGGCAAAGTTATGGCTCTTACAATAAGCAATTGTGGAACAATGGTTACAGAAGATGAAGCCATGTAAAGGCAATCAGATAGATCAAGACACAAGAGGACGAAACACGAACTCCGAATCCCGTTGCAGCCGATGGCCTCGTTTGACTATGCTGCTACGAACATCATTCAAGCGTAGTTAAAGTTTTACGACCAAGAACAAGGTTCAAGTATGTAATATTTATAAATATGGCAAAACTCGTACTGTTATATACAGTTCTGAACTTTGATGAGGTTTGAACCCTGAACCTCTAAGAAGGCTGGGATCTATCGGTAATGTGGATACTGTTGGGCCAATGGCCCATTGGTAAGGTTGAGGATTACCTGTGTAGAAACTGAACACAATTCAGGTTGGCGAACAATGTAGATTTGATCGCCGGTGCTGTTTGCTTTGTAGATATCCTGGTTTCTATGCCACGTCCATAGTGCATATGTGGAATTCACGACCTGCAAAACGTCTGACTATTCAAATGTAGCCTACAAGACGAGTTTTTTAAGGAGTTGGTAGGCTCTTTAGGGAGTTAAGCATAACAAATGAAACAAGAAACAAATACCCAACAAAGAATATGTAGATTAAAGCTGGATTCAAGAAAATGTTGTTTATAGATCGGTTTTTTAGAATATCGAGACATTAAACCAAACGAAACGAAACGATCCCAATATCCGTAGGCGGGGTCTGGAAGGGGTAAAATGTACGCAGCCCTGATCTCTACTCAAAAGAGATGATTTCAAGACATTGAATTGGCCAAAAGTGGGCCAAGTACCACATGGGTGCAGGGTCTCTTACCTGGTTCTTGTGCTTATGAGCCCAACCCTGTTTCAAACGGGCCAGGTACCACATGGGTGTAGAGCCACACACTCGATTGTTGTGTGCATGAGCCCAACCCCGGTGTACCAACTCAAATTGGCCAAGTACACACGGGCACAGACTTCTCACCCAATTCTTGGGTGTGTGAATCAGGTACACAGTGGTCCGTTACGTAACTGGCTTAAGAAACCAGAGAGTCCCAAAATCATCATGTGAGAGGCAAATTAGGTACAAAACGGTCTGACTTAAGAGCCCGTGCCCAAAAGGACCTATCTGTAGAGCAATTATAACTCCCACACTACGGCGGACAGACTTAAAACGCCGTTTATTTGTGCAAGTATATCACCTCAGAACCAACAGTACTACACCACCCTCGATGTAAAAGCATGGGTTTTTAACGATTTCCCTTTTTTCTTACCGCAAGAATGCCATGTCCAAAGCTGCTTTCTCTATAAGCACTCCATTCGGGTTGTTTATCCCAACAAAACCGTCCCTTTGCAGGACCAGATGAAAAATTTGTATGACATACCCCTCCAAATTCAGGTATGTTATCACCCGGTGAAGGACACTTTCCTGGTTCATCTGCGTGATCGACATCAACTTTCTCAATGTTACCGCCATCTCCAATGGTTATATATACGGGCCCACAAGGTTCTAAACTGTAATTATACACTCTATTCATCCGCTCATAGGCGTGCACCTGAAATACACAAAGATTGCAATCACTAATGATAATAAGACCAACTAAACCGAACGAGAGCAGTTTATGCCACCCGGAGGTGGGGTCTTGGGGGTACGTTCTACGCAGACCTGACCTCTACCCAGAGAGTACAACGGCTATTTCTATGAAGACCCCTAACATGCGAATCAAATGCAAGATTTTGAAAAATAGAGATGGGTTTTTTTTTTAAAGCTTACATGACCAGAGAACACGATGTCAACACGATAGTGATATAGAAGTTCTTCCATCTCGAGCCTCATACACTCGAATTCCTGATAATGTGATGAGTAGCTGTTATACCAAGGAGAATGCCACGCAGCTACTAACCAAGGGGTCACGCTTCGGTCTAATTGGCTTAGGTCCTTTTGAAGCCAAGAATACTGTGCACCTGCAAAAAGATCATATATTTCTATCAATTAAAACAAACCAAACCAAACTAACCTATTATATCCCATGTACAGGTGGAGCCCGGGGAGGGTAAGACGTACACAGACCTGAAGTCTACCTCAAAGAGTAGAGCAGTTTTTTACGTGAAGACCCCTAATTAAAACCAAACCAAACACACCCGCTATACCCCACTTGGAGATGGAGCCTGGAGAGGGTAAGATGTACGCAAACCTGACTTCTACCTCAAAGAGTAGAGCGGTTATTTCCGTGAAGACCCCTGACTGGGGTAACGAAGAGAGATAGAGAGATATAATGAAGTTCTGAAAAGCTGGTTAAGATAAAACATAATTACCCGTCCTATTGTAGTCAATATATGCTCCTAACATGATGAAATGCACGCCTCCCGCATCAACCGAGTAGTAGAAATTGCTGTTAGAGCCAGACTCATTCGAGGGGACTGCAAATCTTTTTAGATATGATTCAAAAGTGACTCCATCAGCTTGTGGCTCGATCTCATGGTTTCCTTCAACGACCATCATTGGTACTCTAGAGATCAAGGGCTCCATGAACCTGGACTTCAGATACAAAATTTGTGTAAAAATATCACATTCTTGTAACTTTATCGAATCATATCATTCAATGCTCGTTATATTCATCGAGTGCAAGGCTTCCAATTTTTTTTTTTACAGATCAATGTTATGTTTGGCAAACTACCTGATAAGCTAGCTTTTAGCTGAAAACTAGTTCTTCGTTAATAAGCCAACCGATAAACTAGTCATGTTTGGCAAAAATGAGCTTATAAGTTTGATGACAATGTAAAATGATCTAAAAGGCCAGTTTAAGAACTTAATTGAAAAAAATATAAAGGGCATAATCGGAAAAAAAGTCCCTATAGCTTATTGAAACACTACTTGAAGTAGCAGTGTCCATTAGATAAATGACCACAAAATTTTTCAATAGAAGCATGACCTTCTAAAAATATTTAACTCAATGACCTTCGTCTGTAGCTTGCGAAACGAGCTTCTGGAGAAGGTCATTGAGCTATATAGCCCAAAAGTAGAGTCTCAAAAGCTAGTTTATAAGCTAACTTATGACAAACTAAACGGGACTTTTCAGTAAGCTAAAAAAAAGCCAGTTTATGGTTTCCAAACATAGTCCAAGACTTTTACCTTCCCCATCCATCCCAACGGGGTTGATATGTTTCACGAATGGGGGCATCCGGGAATGCACAAGAGAAGCAGGGTGCCCCTTTGCCCCCGGTTGTAACATACTGATTGGCATAACTTAGGTCTCCCACCATTAGAACAAGAGAGGGATCGTTTTTGATGAGATGGTCAATAGTGGTTGTCGTATTTGCCGTGAGGCCAAGGTCCCCAACAACCGCAATTCTACGAGGGTATGTGTTTGGGCTGGGCAACGGTAAGGTTTCAAAAAAACGCTCGTCACTCATTGCTCCAATAGAACTGTCTCCGCATTTGTAGTAATATGTCAAACCAGGTTCAAGACCTACATTACATAAATTAAAATCTTAGATTCCATTCACTTGCATCATTTTCCTCCATTTTCAGTCATCTAAATGGAGCTCAAGAATGCAAGTAAACTTTCGGTAGCCTAAGGGTGTGTGCGTTCGGTAGACAAGAAGGGACAGGACTGAGTGGGACAAAAATGCAGTTATTTTGTCCCACCCAAATAGGTGGAACAAAAATCAGGAAGATGAGACAAGATACGTAAATTAGTAAATTACTAAACTATCGATGTTATAGTAAAACCTTCCAATACTCTTTTACCCGTCTACCTTACTCTGGTCCGGTACAGTCCCGTTCAGTCATGTCCGCATATCAAACACACCCTTAATAGAATTGAAATGGATCAAACATATTCATTTCTCTTAACATTGGACAATTAGACCAGACAGGGCATGACTGAGGGCATGATTGTTAGCAGCTAATTTGGTCAGCTATACATGACTCTTTGGCAGTGGCTTAATGATATAGAAAGTGGCTTATTCAGTAAGCTTTCTAGGGAGGGGAGCTTTATGCAGAAAACCAAGTTTTTTCCAAACCTGTCCCTCCCCATAAAAAATATTGCTCCTTCCAATGAAAAAACCCTCTCAAACCAAAACCTTCTCAATATATAGACAGATTAATTCACATAGACAGCTTTATCCATATAGAACTTAATGGAAAACCAACCACATAGCCCCTGAGTGTCCAATCAAAGTAGGAGGAACAAAAAAATGGGGAATTGAGATAAAACAAAACTACCTATATCAAACTAAAACTTTAAAACCTTCCAAAATTCTTTCACCCGCCTACCTCACTCTCGTCATTTGACTCTCATGCGGTCAACTTGCGTAAGAATACCAAACGCAACCTAAAAGAAACGAATGGATCAAGCATCTTCGTTTCTCCTAACACTCGATCAAAATTCACAATCGAAATAAAATGCAAGAAACCCATAAATTTCTCATTACAACCTTTGTTTCTTGCACTCTTTTCCAGCATTCCCTTATGCTTACTTAGCTCAGATTCAGATACGACTGTGTTCGATCCTAAATCATAGATTATCTACGAAAAATCTAGGCAAAGTTCGATCAATCAAATAACAATCAATAACTATAACACCAAATCAAGCATTACATTAGAAATTAGAGGCTGAGAAAAATTATGGCAATGAATTCTTACCATCAATCTTGACATGATGAATGATTCCAGAAGTGTAATTAAGAAGTCCCTCAAATGGATACAACTGACTGTAAATCATCGAAACCCCAGTTCGTTTCTTCGAATATTTCCCACTTTTATCGCCATACCACACCTCACTAGCAACAGTAGATGGATCAAGTGGCGTGACATTCTTCCCGATCTGTGCATCCCCTTTAAAAGAACAACAAAATGGATCTCAGAACGATCACACAAAAATTGCTGGAAATGAATGAAAACCATACCAGTAATCCATGAAACCCACATGGAATTTGGAGAGGAAAGTGCCAAAGCGATTTGTTCAGGGAAATTTGAAGTGACGTTCTTCTTTAACCTGGGATGATTCATGGGCAAGTCATCACTGCCTAAACGAAGAGACGGGTCGAATTTTCGGGTCACTGGCTTAAATGGGCCATCTAAGGTGGTGGGTATTTGAGCTGAAGCACTCATAATCATCACCACCATGATCATTATTAGGGATTGAAGAACACTGACCTCCATGAGTGAAGGTTTTGTTTGAGTTCAAATAATTACTGGGTATGAAACTGAAATCGAGACGGAGTTAAACATGCTTTCTTCCATAGAAAGGTTTTGAAAAATGGAATCTAATGGAGCATATTCAATGGTTATGGTAGCATATCGTTGTTTGCACGGATTTGGCAAGGGTTTGAATTGGGCATGACCAGTTTGGTTCGACATGAATTTTGTTTTGTTGGTTACTCTTATTTTGACTTTACAAAACAGCCCAAAAAAGAACGGTAGGTGTTGTTTTTATATGTTTCGGAAACGGATGAAAATGAACGGGAAAAAGCATATTTTTGAATTCCTCGTAAAGCATTAAATACATTAAATACTATTACTTTATGTATTTTGTCTTAAAATATCTTAATTTATAATTAAAATAATATATAGTATAAGTTATTAATGCACATTATTACCTTTTCTTTTCATGTTTTCAAGATACTTTTGACACATTTCACTCATGTTTTCACACATTTCACTCATGTTTTCACCCTCTCATATCTATATGTCTTCTTCTCATCCCCTAATGTGAGATTCAAACTGATATTCACCATAAGTTATTAAAAGTTTTCTCATTCAATTGCTCTATAACTCTTGGTCTCGCTCTCGATCTCTTGATTCTTTGCTCTTGGTGTAAATCGAACACATTTGTGGAGTCGTTTAAATATGTTGGATTTTAAATATATTATATCTTAAATTGTCATAAAAAAAATTTCATCGATAGATTGTAATTGGAACCATAATTTTTATTTATTCAAGTTGTATTAATATGTAAAGACCAAGTGTAACTTATATCATCGTTAAATCTTCTTTAATAAAACCAGTGAAACTTCAAAATCGTTAAAATTCACGGCTACCGCCGCATTACAAGGGTACACAACTAGTTTAATTGAAATGACGAGGATGTGAGAGAAAAAAACATGGAATAAAGGTTTTCAAAGGTTCCACCATTATGAATGTTTCAAGAACCTCATTTTTTATAAGTTTTGTGTCACATCATTAATACATCAAGAAGTTAAAATAAAACTCTATAACAAAGGTTCTTACAAAAAAATAACTTTTCCATTTTTTTAGTTACTAGAAGTGTATTCGCGTAATGCAGCGAGATACATCTTGATTTTAATGTTTCGTTTTATTTTGTTTCTTGTCGATGTTATAATATGTTTTTATTTGATTTTGAGAAAAACGATAATGTTTTTTATTTTTGAATAAAATATAAATTTGAAGATATCTTGAAATTTTAAAAAAATATCTCGATATTAGTTACAAATTAACTATTTAAAAGTTCTTGTTTTGTTGTGTAATTTCTTTAATTCAATTTTTTTTATTATTATTTAATTTATGTTCAATAAGAAAATAATTTATTTTGGATTTAATAATATAACTTTTTATAAAGATAATAATTAAGTATTTTGTTARWACWTAATGATTATCCTAATTATATTTTAGATATTAATTTTATATTTAAAATGAAATGTTTATCCAATATTTTATTATCTTTATTTGTAGTTAGTTACACGAATTCGAGTATGGAGCCTTAATAAGTTGTACTTATGTATTATTTATTTGTAATCTTGAATTTTAAGTAATATGCATTAATAAACAAAATTTCACGTATAAAAAATTATTTTTAAAAGTTTTGTCAAATATTTTATAATATAGTATTAGATATATATATAACATATAACTTTATTTATAGATTATTATATAAATTTGATGTATATATATATATATATATATATATATATATAGGGTATATTTCTTTTACAACCTTGTGCATTTGTACAACCTTTGCAACCCAATTAATTGAGATATTTATAGAAATTATAAATATCTCAATTAATTTACATATTGTATATTAAGTTTAATTTGTTAATATCGAAGACGATGATTAAAAATAGGAGATTGAGCAGCATTTGAAAAAATTTAAAGATATTGTGAAGTGTAAAAAAAAAAACAAAGTTAATAAATATATTTTATAATAATTAATTTATATATATTTTTATAAATTTTAACTTATATGGTTTATAAATTTAATTAAAACAAAAAATAAAATGGTTTTAAAAAAAACAATAATAAAAAGGAATATAGATAATAATCAGGGTTCTTGTTCAAGCACCCAAGTTTTTATTAAAATCTATAACTGAACAAGAACATATGTCTCACAGTGAAGGTTCTTATAAAAAACCTAACAAGAACCTGTACTGTGGATGCTCTAAGAATTCTACTGGAAAATTTTCATCTCAAATATGGAAAGGACGTGAAGTAAGTAAATGATAAACAACATAACATCTGCAATGGAGGTTACTGTTGACATTTATGTTGGGGTTTTTATAAGAAACTCGTTTTTGTAATTTTTTGTTATATTATTATTAACTCAACAATTTAAAAAGTACCATAAAACTCTATAATGGTCGTGACTAGAAACATCTATAATAACTATATTATATATTTTTTTTACTTTCTAAAATATAGTATTATAAATCAAAATATCTGGAAAAATTACATCTATCACCAACAGCTACTCTACTTTAACAGTTTTAGCATTATCTATAATATTAAAAATATTCAACATATTTAATAAAATATTATTTCTCTTTTCAAAATATTTATTTTCAATATCTTTTATTGTTGTTAAAATATTAAAATATTATTTATCTCTCCTGTATAAATCTTTTAGATATTTTTCCAAATCTAGAAAGTTTCATTTTCTCTTTATTCTTTTCTCTATTTTAGCATAGTTGTTGTAACAAAAAAGTTGTTAAATATCCAAAATATCTATTTTAGCATAACTGATGGAGATGCTCGATAGGAACCTCTTTTTGTGAGTCCCATGTATTATTTCAACATTAATAATGTAAATATAAAAATCAAAAAAAATTACAGAACATAATACAAGAAAAAGTCGATTTGGTCAATGTGGTTCGAGAAAAATTTGGATTGGTCTGGATATGACAAGATAAAGATCAAACCGATCATGATATTTATCTGATCCGGAAACATCTGTTCTAATCATGTAATCTCGTTAAGGAAATCATACAAAATGGGGTCTTAAACTTAAGTCCGATTGTGTTTTGAGCTTATCATTTTTCCATGTTATACATAACGGAAATTTTCAACAATCAGATTAAGTTTATGCCGAAATTGATTAGATGAAAATTAGATATAATTAAATTATTGAATATGTTTTGACAAAAAGTGGTATCAAAATCCAACAAAATTAATGGTAAAAAATTATGTCAAACTACAAATTTCACAAAATCATAGATATACTTATTTAAAAAATATATTATTACCTTAATAAGATGACTTCGGATCACGTGAGACCAACATGTTTTCGTGAGACCCGTGAGACTATTTTTTTTACATTTGAAACTTCACAGCAAAACGCTGTGAAGATAACCTTCACAGTGTTTTTGTTGTGAAGGTTCAACTTTTTTTTTTTTTAACTTCATAACGTTATGCTGTAAAATTTCAAATATAAAAAAATAGTCTCACGAAAACAGGTTAGTCTCACGTGAACTCAAACCTTGATAAGATGGCTTCTTTTGTATTTATATGAAATGCATTAATTATTCAAAAAGAAGTGATAATAGGTCAACTTAATCTCTATTATAAAAATTATTCGTTTTGACTTGTTATATAATCTTGTCTAAGAAAATCGTGTAAGTACAATTGACCTGCTTCCTTTTAAGTAATTAATATAAATATTTAAAAAATCTCTGTATAAAATCAAAAATTAAATAGTTTCTGTATTTCATAAAAACTGTATTTGAATACTGAATTTTGAAACTAAACATGAACTGGAGTCTGGATATCGAACAAGAATGGTTGGACTGATCAACCCTTTGTGTATCGGAAACGAAAACTTAAACCAACATGATAATATGAAATACCAGAGGATCAAAAAAAGGCGTACGTTAAACAGTTAAAACATGATGTTTGAAAATATTGCGGTGCTTAAAATTACGTAAACATAGTCGAACGTAACATATTGTTGCCGATACACCTCTAAATAGGGTTGAGGATTGAAAGAGTTGAAATGAGTAGCATCTTCAATGTACTTCCTGTATTGACTATTTAATTATTGTCGGAAGTCAATCTCGACATCAATAATTATTATACTTCCTATATGCAAAGAGCTCTGTACAAAAAATCTACATACATATACAAATTGGGATCATGTGAGACCAACCTGTTATGTGAGACCAACCTGTTTTCGTAAGACCATTTTTTTACACTTGAAAAAATGTTGTGAAGGTAACCTTCACAATGTTTTTACTGTGAAGGTTCGGGTTTTTTTCACAGCGTTTTGCTGTGAAGTTTCAAATGTAAAAAATTGGTCTCACGGGTTTTACGAAAACAGATTGGTCTCACGTGAACCGACCCTACATATGCATCATGTCATGTTCTTATTTTGTTTTATTCAAAAGTAAAAAAAATATTATTAAAATAATATATATTTGTTAACGTAACTAAATAATTTCTAAAAACAAATGTGTTGTCTGATTGTTTGAGCTTGACTTCAAATGTCAAAAGTATCAGGAGGTCTCAGATTCAACTCCAAGAAGGAATAAGAATCTCTTTATTACAATGAAAGTTCAAATACAATGACTTCAGATCATCTGCAAATCATGTGATCGCTCTAAAAATTAGTCGTTGTTTTCATAGAACAAAAAATTAGGACTTAATTTCATGTGTATCTGAAATGACGGCGTTTTATGATTAGCTGTAATGGTACATCCACATGGGGTAGGATTAGGTAAGATTGGTTATTGAATATATTGTCCAATTTCTGATCAATCAACGGCAGGGATCATCTATCCGCCAATCGCTCCGCAAATCGTATAGATAATAAGTGGTGAGTGGATACGTGATTAGTTGCCGGTGATTTAGGAGTAAATGCACCAGTGCTGTTGCTTTTTCAACCCACCTCAATTCTATTGTGTGTATGCATTCACGGGATTATATACGATTTTTAAAAGTATATATTATATGCTTTTTATAAATAAAAATACAATTTTGATGGGTTATTTCGTAAATAAATACG